GCACCAAGGGGGTTATTTTTTTGCACCGGTTTCAATAGTTGTGGGGGTTCAAGTGGTCAACATATTTGGTATTACGGTTGAGGGACATGAATTAGATTGGAGCTATATTTGAGGGACTCAAAGTGAACTTATTCCCAACTTAGAAACCCATTCTGGGTTCCACTAGATCGGTGATTAGTAGTTTGGACTCAATTTGATCACAGGCCACAATGAACTTTGGGCCCAATTTGATCAATAGTCTGGTTACTAGTAGTTTGGGCCCAGATGGGCTTCTTTGCTTGTTTCCTTATGTCCTTTATTTCCCCTTCTTATATTTCTTTTGAGTTTCCCACATTTTGTATGAGTTGTTGTTTCCCTCCAGTAGCAATTTGTGTGGTTTTCCCTTTTCTTTTGTGGGTCCTGTGGTTTTTCTGACAATTAATATGCTTTAAGGTTTTACAGTTTTTCTTTCTTGAACTCATGGATTTTTAGATCGGACCTAAATCTTTCCTCAAACCAAACAATCTCCAACATAGACATCTCCTAATTAAGAGGGAGAGTCAAGTTATATAACATAGCAAGAAGTGATGAACTCGATCAGAAGAAAAATTACTGGGGGTCCTATATATAATTAATTCCTCCATACTATCTAATTATTAACTACTCCTTCCGTCTCTAAATGTTTGACGCCATTGACTTTTTTAAATAGGTTTGACCGTTCGTCTTATTCAAAAAATTTAAGTAATTATTAAATTTTTTCCTATCATTTGATTCATTGTTAAATATACTTTTATGTAGATATATAATTTTACATATTTTACAAAAGTTTTTGAATAAGACGAACGGTCAAACATGTTTAAAAAAGTTAATGGCATCAAACATTTAAGGACGGAGGGAGTAATATACTAATTAATATAACACAAAATAGTTAAAATTGAATAATTTACTCAAGGTCGTGTGACGAAAATGTCACTGCTAGCAAGGGGACGAAAATGTCTTAACCGTTGAGCCATCACATCGTCCTTGCGAGACACACGGCCAATCGGATTTGGTCCTGCCAAAGGACGATCATCCTCGTGCAGAATCTAAACACTGCATCAAGCCATCAACCACTGCACATGTGATGCAAAATTAAGCTTTGGGGGCAAATGGACAACTAGACAGTTGGTCACTTTGTCCCCTCTCATGACCAGATCTGGCCTGCTAAATTCTCTCCCAAATCCACCATTTAGGCTGCAAATCAGTCTCCTGCCACCACTAATTATTCCATCCATGCATGTACATTCATAAATTTGGCCTGATTTCAGGCTGGTTTTGAACCCTAATTTGGACCCATTTGCAACCAATAAATATCCAGAGCTCATCATGTGTCATGGAGAGATTATAAGAATCTGTCTCTCTGCATGCACATGGCTTCACTTGTTGCATACTTGACAATCACATATGCATCTACTTGGCTCACATGCTGATGCATGATGGGTTTCAGATTAATTACACCACAAAAGGGCTAAAAGCATGATTCATCACCATCATATATATCTCATGTTGATCACTGTTCACTCTATCTTGTCTGATTGTCTCTGCATATATGGATTTTTCCATGTAGAGTATAATATGTGTGTATCTTTCGGCTTCATGTCGGCAAAAATGATGATCAAGATTGAGCTGAATATCTATCCACTTAACCGCCATAAGCATGGCCGGCATGATGTATCCACTGTCGTGATCAGGACACGTGTCGTGACGGCATGCGCTGTTGACCGGTCAAATAATGATTAGTGTCAGTGGCATTGCTGGTTTGTGCTCACTATCCCCTAGTGACTGATGATCATGTGGCGAAAAGTTAGCTGATAGTGGTTTTGTGATAATAAACTAATTAAGGTAGCTAAATCTAAGCTTATCTGATAATCACATGGCAGACAGTGAAGCCAGAGCAGTGGATGAGCTTTGCTTTTGTTGATTGGCATCTTCTAACCGTTTGATTTCTTGTTTGTTTGCGGCACAAATTGCTGCCTATTACTCCCTCCGTCCCAAAATAAATACAGTTTTGCACTATTCATCTCCAATGTTTGACCATTCGTCTTATTTAAAATTTTTTTATGATTACTATTTTTATTGTTATTAGATGATAAAACATGAATAGTACTTTATGTGTGACTATTTTTTAAAAAAAATTATAAATTTTTCAAATAAGACGGACGGTCAAACGTTGGACACGGAGTTCCACGGCTGCACTTATTTTGTGACGGAGGTAGTACTTTTTTTACATTCTTAAATAATTGTCGTGTTATAAATTCATGCATATAAAAATCTATAAAACTGATTATTAAATCCCTAAAAAAACCTTCCCCAAAAAGAAATATCCGGCACAACACTTGGAGTTGTTATGTTCATAAAACTATTTCGAGATATACTTAATAGTACAAAGGTAATGGTTGTGTTGTTTTACCCTGAGGTCTCGTATTCAATCCCTAACACGCTCATAATTTCTTAAAAAAATGTTTGGAGTGACGTCTCTCTCTCCAAATCTTGTTTTTTTTTTTCAGAAAACTATTCAGATTTGCCATATGGACATATGGTTACACCAATGTGTAGAGATTTATATCATCAATGTAGTTAGATCAACGGACATGAACTTAATTAGGTCAAATTGCAGCCTAATTGACCATTGCCTGTGCATGGCTTGTCCTGATGCAGCGTGTGCAAACATAAATGTGCTGTCTGGTCCAGTAGGAGCCATGTGGGCTTTGTGTGCTACAATGTGTTGGTGCACATGAATCTGAACACTTAAATTTCCCCCTGTTTCTCCAACAAATGGCAATATAAAGTTCCAAACAAATGCGTGATCCAACACTAGTTGAAAATGAAAGGAGAAACAACATGGACAACTAATTACTTATAAAAAAGCACTAAATCACGCCCCGTTTTAAAAAAACTTGAATCTGTCAATTAAACCGTTGAAATAAAATTAATTGTCTCCGTTAAAAATTCCCATAGAATCCAGGTAAAATTCAGACGTACAAAAGAGTGCCATCATTAGTACGTGTGAGCTCACAGGAGCATGTCCCTATCATATTACCGTGTGACGGATTATGACAGAAGACACGAGGGCATGGGCAGCGCGAAGGCTGTCCGTTGTCCTGCGATCCCAATCTTCCTTCTCATTTTTGTTATGACAATAATGATGTAGGGTAGGGAAAGAGATAGGGATAGGAGAGATGTTATATATCTCAAAAATTAGTCTTTGACTCCTGCCATGAGTTCTAAAAAGAAAATCCCATGACGGATTGGTGAGCAATCAGCCTCACTGCCGGATGCATGCATTCATCCAGTCCAAGATCACAGAGAGACAGTGCCATGCTCTGAAATCCGAATGCTGGCTGTCCCCTTTTGAGAAGGTTTGAAACCCTTCCTCATCCGCACGCAAACAGAGCAGTAAATTAATACATAATTAACTAAGATTTAGAAAATATATCACTTTAATAGTTTAAAGTATTTTTTATGAAATACATATTATTTAGTAGTTTTGAAAAATATACGCACGAAAAACGAAGAAGACGAAGTTAAGAATCTCATACGTAGCAATAAAAAAAAGACTAAATACTCCTATTTTATCAAATCTCGATGCAGCTATTTCTCACTTTATCTACTCCTAATACAATTATTCTTCATTTTCACAAAATCTGATGTAATAATTTCTCAAAAGTAAACTTAATTATTTTGAGGCAAATGGAAGGAAAAAAATTATTAATACTAAGTTGGTTTATTTCGTTTTAAAATAAATTAACCTCATAACATTTACTAATACGAAGTTGGTTTATTCTAGAACGGATGGATGGAATAGAATGCAGCGGCGGAGACGAATTTGCTGTGGTGCTCGGATGAGGCCGGCTGGCCGGGCGCAGAAGATCCGTGGGCTCCGTGGGTGGTGGTGGTGGCCGCGCGTGCGTGCGCCGCGCCCACCCGTCGCTTCTGTGGGCGCGACGCTGTGTGGCCGCATCTGCGCGCGCCCTCTCTCTCTCTCTCCGGCGACGCGATGCCGGCCGGTGGACGGCGGCTTGTCGCCGAGACTGACCACCCCCTGCCACATGGGCCCCACCACGTAGGTGCTCCCACGTGGGCACACGTGTACGTATGTGTGCATTGTACATTTGTACTCGTATATACACACGTATATATGTAGACAAGATGCAGTAGAATGTGAACTTTTTTCTCTCACTCTCTAGAGGAGAGCATCCTGCATTAGATTATCGTAAACGGATTAATTTTTCCACAAAAATGAACCTGCTTTGGAATACATATGGTTTTTAAAAAGAAATTCTTACTAACGCAGAATTTTTATAGGGAAAAAAATGCCTGAGAAGAATCAAGTTGTCCTAAAAGAATCCACCTGTAATACAACTTCTACTATTACATAGATTTTTTTTTACGGAATCAACACCCTAGATCAGTTAGAATATTGTTCTTAAAATTGAACCTGCTTGATTTTAACCAAAAAAAACTTCTTTAGAAACCAAACATTTTTCTAGGAAAAAAAGGACTGAGAAGAATCAATTTTCCTAAAATATCCACCTACAGCACAACATTTACAATCACATAGCAATCTTTTTTTTTTCAAAAAAAAAAACTAACACCCAATATCAATTAGCAGCAGCTCAGTAGAATTCGAATGCTTCATGCAATTAATACAAACCAATGTAAAATACAGAGATCCTAGCATTGTGCAACAGTACAAACCAAGGTAAAATACAGAGATCCATATCAATTATGAATATTTTGCACCACAATGACATGAGCAGAGCCGAAAGGGAGTGTCCCATGGCCATTGCCCCAGGGGACATGGTCCCATAAATTATTTCAGACATGGAAAGAGATGCCCCACCAAACAATATAAACTAAACCAAGTCCTACTTTAATTAACTAGCTAATCAATCTCCCTCCAAATCCAATGCATAATCACATACATTAGCATAAACATATCACTTGGATTGATTGGCAACTGTGCACTATAAATACCCCCACCCATGCCTCATTGCATACCAAACCTTCTTCCCCAAAATCTCCAGCCACAACCAGAAGAAAGAGGCACCAGTCTGCTCAACCTATACATTTTTAGAGAGAGAAGCTGCAAAGGGTGTGTTAGAGAGAGATGGAGATGTGCATGGATGACAAGTGGAAGCTCACCAAGAAGGGCAGCCGAAGGTTGGAGGAGGGCCGGGCTTCGAGAGGCCCATCCCGGTCTGTGCCAGGGCGGCTGGCGAGCCTGGTGAAGGAGCAAAGGGCCAGGTTCTACATCATGCGTCGCTGCGTCACCATGCTCGTCTGCTGGCGGGACTAGTGATCGATCTCTTAGAGCTACGGGCCTAAACGGGTCGGGCTGGCTGATGCATCAAGAGGTCGCCTTGCCTAGTAACAAATTTATTCGTTTAGTGATGATGTTTGTTCTTTCTTTTTTTCTGAGAAAGAGAGCGATGTGCCTTTTCAGTGGCCATCCTGTGGTAGATAGTTGTTAATTTGTGTGGAAAGAATTAAATAGCTTACGTTAGCTGTTTGAGCCATCCATACAGAAATGTAAACTGTGACAAGTGTCTCTTTGAAAGACTAATACATTCCATGGTTTCTAAATCAAATTCTCTACAGTACCTACAGTACAGTAGTCTGTTCAATTTTTTCCACTAAATTTCTCCATCTCAAGGAGGCACAAGAAATGTGTTTGTGTATGTTATGTCTGTAATTACTTTTAGGCATTGTATTGCAAGTTCCCGGACAGTTTGCTCACCCGCACAAATAACCCTGCAGTTTGCTCAGTTTGCACGAAATTCATCTGAAATGTTCATGTAGGATTCGCACTTTATAAGCGCTAGTGCCTTGCCAAGTCGACACGTGGCTCTCCTCCTCCGAATTCAGAAGTCCACTACTCCTGGACCCACCCGTCAATGCCATGCCGTGGGCCCCACGCGGCAGCGATGTGGTCCCCACCTCGCCGCGCGTGGTCTACTGCCGCCGTTTCTGCGGCGGCCATCGCCTTCCTCGATTCCTCCTCTCGCTAGGGTTTGCGGGAGAGCGCCGCGGCGGAGTTGAGGAGAAATGGAGATCGACGGAAGCGGAGACGAGTCAGCGGCGGCGGCGGCGGCGGCGACGAGCACTGACCCCGGCCGCGGCAGGAAGAGGCCGCCTTCCCCCTCAACTCCGACTCCGAGCGACGACGGGGAGGACTCCGACGACGGCTGGGCGGTGAGCGACAGCGGCAGCGAGGAGGAGGAGGAGGAATACGACGACGAGGAGGAGCAGGAAGGTACAGGATGAGTTCTAAATCTTCTTCTATCTGAATGATGAATGATTCCTGAATATTTTGTTTCACGAGTCGTTAATCTTATTCAGTTTTTCGGTTTCATATATGTTCCCCTTGTTTGATTCAGACCGAAATGCCGAGCACGGCGAAAATTTCAGATAAAAAAAACAACGTGCTAATCTATTTATTTGATGATAAGTAACATATATTCTGGTTAGAAGTAATTTCAGGAATTTGATTGTCTTATGATAAGCCAAACTAAAAAAAGAAAAAAAGAGAGAGAGAGAGGAAATAGCATACTGCAAGTCTGATACTGCTGGATAACTGAAATGTTGCTTCACATGTGCCCTCACTCCATACTGTACAAGTTGCAGAAACAGAAGAGGATCATTTACTTCATTAGGTACATGGCTGAGAAAAAACCTGGCAATAACAACTTGCAGTTACTAATATGTACTTGTATCGAACTATCAAGGCGGCAATCAAGTTGCAGCAGTGCAGTGCAGAGTGTGTTCCTTTTCTCTACAGAGTTACAGTTACACACTTTGAGAATGTTAGCGATTCAATGCTACATGCCGCAATATAATGTTCAATGCAGTGCAGTGGCAGTCCACCATTCAGTTAATCTAGTGCCTCCTTGCTTTTTATAAGTTCCCATTCCCCTCTTTGATTCAGACTGAAATACAATTGAAAAAAAAAAGGTGCTCATCAGTTTCCTTAATACTTTTAGCTTGTGATTGACAACTTGGATTAGGATTTAGGATTCAGTTCTTGCTCTTTGATTGGGTGACATTGGAAGGAACATCACTAAGAATATCTTGCTTGAATTAGTTCCTACCTAATCCTACTTGTAATGAACTTTGGCAATAATATAAAATGCAAAAAGGAAAAAAAATGCAACCTTTTATTCTATATTCAGTATACATAATTACAGACTTTTTGACTTAATCAACTTCCATCGCTATGTTTTCTGTCAAGCGTCTAATTTTAGCTTGCATACATATGATAGATGGTGGTAGATCAAACTACAGAGCCATGGAAATTGTTTCAGTTGATTGATTTTCCTATGATTTTTTTGTATAGGGATGCACCGCCCATTTACTGTTGATGATTTTCCAAGGCTTAGTAGTGACCATTCTGTGCAGACTGATGCACTCTATGATATTCCACATCTTCGTCTTCGAGGCCCTTCACCACTCAGTCTTTTCCGTGCATTCAATGATCCTCTCACTGACAAACGCATGCATTGGTTTGGTTCTTTTTACTTCCATACTTATCTTTTGGCATGTTTGACATTTAGTCATTATTTTTGTAAGTTTGGATATTTCTCTTGATTGCATCATCACTGTACACAGTAACAATCTAATAGTAAAACTTAAAGTAACATCCTCATTGTCAATAGCACTTCTCTTGATTGCATTATTACACATTTACTGGTGGTATGTGATGTTACTGAAGAATAACTCAAATACATGACGTAATACTTTGTGTTCCTCATTGTAGGGTATGGCATGTTTACCATTGACTAGCCCTGCTCGAGGTATTTGCATTACAAGCCGTGCACTGTTTGAATTCCAACTCTGTATTCGGACTGAAGACTCACCTGAGGCTGAGGATGAGCCCATAGGTGAAACATTGATTGAAAGATGCACTGAATTCACCAACATTTTAAGATCAGCATCATTCACCAAAACTGTTCGTCTGTATGGTGAGAAGTGTGGATTGGATGTGAAGTTTGCTCTGCTGGTAAATGCAGTTCAAGCAACAGTTGATGTTGAGATTATACATTCACCTGCTTGTGGCCTTAATTTGAAGTTATATGCCAAAACCAGTGGCTTCAGCGATGTGATCCGTCTCTTCCGAGGTGTTGCACAATCTGGTCGCAGAATTAGATCTCTTGTGGCGGTGGTACGACGTAGTCACCTTGATCTTTGTATCGAAGGGTCTCCAGCAGATATCGGTCTTGGTGAGAAGCTGCCCTGTGTAAGGTGGGAGCACAAATTTGGTGCTGGTTTTCATAGAACTGCAGATGAAGTGGTGAAGCTTGGTGATTTTACCACAATTTCTGTGAAAGTTACATGGAAAGCTGTCGACAAGCATCCGCCGCCGAAGGGATAGAGGAGCTTCTATATGCAATGTAAAAATTGGAAGATGTTATGTGTTTGGCATCTTTTTGTGCGCTATCTCGACACCTATAGAGTTATACTCTTAACATGCTTGACTTCGAGCTGCCTAAGTGTCAGGGACAAATTTGTCAGAGTAATGTAGAACTTTTTGAAACGTATATGTTAGCAAGGCTAGTGATCTCTTAGGGTGGCCATGGATCTGTCAATAGAACTTTGGACCCTGCTGCTCGCAGCCGACTAACAGATTTATCTGTTTACTGATGATATGGTTCCTTTTGTAGATAGTAGCCAATTTGTGTGGAAAGAAAAAACTTCCATTAGCTGTTTGATCCATCCATACTGAAATGTAAACAGTGACAATGTCTTTGTGAAAGACTGATAGAATTTTTATGGTTTCTGAATGAAACGTTGTAAAGTAGATGACATTCTTGCTGCCTTGTGAAGAGACCGCCGTTGTGTTTCTGAAGAATGCACGTTGATTTGCAGTTTGGTACAAAACATAGCTTTAATTTGGTACCCAATGCCTGTAGGTTTCCATCAGGCGTGGAATTGCATTGCAAGTTCCTGAACAGTTTGTTCAATGTTCAGTCATGCATGCAGAACTGCAGAGAAATGTGCAGTGAAAAGTCTCGGGCCAATCAGAGTGGCAGAGACTCACCACCGGCTGGCTAAAAAAGGTGAAGAGTCTGTAAGGGCAAGTTTTAAAGTGGAGGTGAGTGACACATCTAATTTAAACCATGTCATCTTCTCAGAGCAAGTTCAATAGTATAGCCAACTACTAGCTCTAATTCATTTATAGCCAATCTAATAGCTCATTCATACAATAGTTACATACTACACTATTAATACCTAGTCTCACCTGTCATAGACACACTGCGTCTTGAAGTCCGTGCTACAGCTGGCTACAAATCTGTAGCCCGCTGCTCTTCTCTCTCCTGATTTATCTCCTTAAAATATGTTTGCAGCTGGCTTATAGCCTGCTATTGTACCTGCTCTCACATCATCTTATATTTTTCTTGGAGATTGTGTGGAGGTTGCCCCTTGCATGAGGGGTGGCTCATTCTCTCTCTCCTAACTTTTCTCCAACTCATCACCTAATCCTATGTGGTAAATTTAGGGGGAACATGAAGCGGTTACAGTACTTGCCCTAAGTGCCATCACAAAGAATGCAACATACTGTATTAGCATGATGCTTGAGGCTGTGTTTGCAACCCCATGTTCCCAACCTTTCTCCCTTGTTTTTCGCACGCATGCTTTTCAAACTACTAAACGGTGTGTTTTTTTGGTAAAAATTGTCTATACGAAAGTTGCTTAAAAAAATCAAATTAATTCATTTTTAAAAAGAAATTAGCTAATACGTAATTAATCATGTGTTAAAAAGTCACTCTATTTTATGTGCAGGAGGGGTGGGTCCCATCAGGGTAACTTTGCTCATCTACACAAATTAACTAATTGCGCTAACATTATCCACGTCTCCACTTCATACTCGTGAGTCGATCTGCCCCTCCATCATGTCCTACGCTGCGTGCTTGTGCTCCGCACCTTGAGCAGAACGACGCTAGCAGGAGGCATCAGCTGCTGGGAGGCACTGACATAGGTGGCAAACTGGCAACGTTGGCCATAGCAGTAGCAGGGTGATGCTTGTAGCAAACACGAGGGAAGGAAAAGTTGGAGCCGAGGAGAGGAGGCGCTGGCGGCAGATGGTTCGCCGGTCGGCCAATTAGCGGTGCCACGTGTCCTTTCCCTGCACTTTACCATTTGATACTTATACTCCATGCGTCCCTTAATATAAGAGATTTTGACATTTTACTTACACTGTTTAACCATTCATCTTATTCAAAAAATTTTAGAATTATTATTTATTTTATTTGTGATTTACTTTATTATCCAAAGTATTTTAAAAATAATGTTTCGTTTTTTATATTTGTCCAAATTTTTTGAATAAGACGAGTGGTCAAACAGTGCAAGTAAAATATCAAAATCCCTTATATTAGGGGATGGAGGGAGTACCATGTGCTCGTATCAGCTAGTAGCTATCATTATCTAAAATACAAAAATCAGCTAGTAGCTATAGGTATTAGCTAGTATCTACATGGTACCCTTAGGAATAACAGGCCTGATACGCTACCTCCATCCCAAAATATATGTCATTCTAGGTTGTTTAGTATGTACTAAGGTTAAGAGAAAAAAATACTATAATACCCCTTAGTAACTAATGTATAGTTGGATGTGAGATGGTGGTTGGGGGTATAATGGGAAGAAATTTGAATTAGAATTGGTTGGTGTAATAAGTAGTACTTCCAAGTGATAACCATTTTGGGATAACTTTTGAATGCTAGAAAAATAAGTATTGTGGGACGGAGGAAGTATTATGAGTATCAGGTCTAGTACCCATGATACAATATATATCAAGTCTAAAATCTATGGGTATCAGCAGAGCTCGTGACGGTTGGCGTCCTTCCTGACCTCATTTTTTCCTAGTTGTTCCCGTATCGGCATGGGAACCGGATCTAGTGGGCGTCGCCATGCTGCAAGCATGATACGAAGGAGGATGTCATGGAACCAATCCCATCCGTTGCCCTCGTCGCCAACATGCGCTTGGGTTGGATCCGGTGATGGTAAGGCCATAGACCTTTAGATTCGGTGTTAGCAGCCCGCTTCCTGATTCACTGATGAGTGGCACGGAGCAGCAACCAAGAGTGGAGCACATGTGAATGAGCAGGGACCAGACGACCAGTGAAGGGAAGAAGGAGCGATGATCCATTTCCAAGCTGGCTCGGACAAGGAGGAAGAGGGGAGGGAGGAGGAGGAGAAGCACACAAGGAAGAGGGTGGCAATGCTAGGCGGAGAGCGATGGGCGGAAGAGGAGCGTGTCTAGTGGATAAGGAGCACTACTCATTTTATCCCGTTCTCGCTCCCCTAGATGAGACACCATGCTGTAGTTTTTCTGTTTTATTATTAAAAAAATTATATTTTTCGCTGCCTTGTGAAATATGAAGTTTATCAAAAGAGATCCTTGTGTTTCGGAAGAATTTTGGTTGGTGTATGCAGGCAAAGCCTGACAACGCAGAAATATCATACAATACATTATTCTTTAAAAAATGTCATACATTGATGGAGAATTTAGAAGGAAGATAAATTGAAGGAAATAATGCAAATCGAAGAAATATCATACATGGATTTAACTTAGCATCCAATGCTTGTATGTTCTGTTAGGCATTGCATTGCAAGTTCCTGGACAATTTGTTCGGTCATGCAAATAACTTTATAGTTTCTTCAAATTTTACGAAATTCGTCTAAAATTTTTCCGTACAAAGAGGCTTTATAAAATGTTTGTTTTTTCAAAGATAAGAAATGCTTGTATGTACAGATCACAGATGTACTCCAATACTACGGTCTGCAGTTGGGCGCTAGTGCCTTGCAAAATCGACACGTGGCCCTTCCCCTTCCGGAGTTCGGAAGAAGAAGCGACCCAGGACCCAGGACCCACCTGTCAGTGAAACGAACGCCATGCCGTGGGCCCCACTCGGCAGCGATGTGGCCCCCACTTGCAAAATCGAGGACGCTAGCGAGCGTCCTCGATTTTCCTCTTGCTAGGGTTTGTGGGAGAGATCGCCGGCGGTGGCGGCGGTGGCGGCGGCGGAGGCGGAGGCGGAGGCGGTGTTGAGGAGAAATGGAGGTCGATGGAGGCGGAGACGAGTCGGCGGCGGCGGCGATGGCTGACCCCGGCCGCGGGAAGAAGAGACCGCCTTCCCCCTCAACTCCTCCGACTCCGAGCGACGACGGGGAGGACTCCGACGACAGCTGCGCGGTCAGCGACGAGGAGGAGGAGGAAGACGAAGACGAAGGCGAGGAGGATCAAGAAGGTACAGGATGATCACTATAATTCTTTTACTATCTGAATGGCTCCTGAATATTTCGTTCGACGAGCCTCTGTAATCTTGTTCAGTTTTCGGTTTTTAAATTTTCCCCCTCTTTGATTCCGACTGAAATATGTAATGCAGAAAACAACGTGCTAAGCGATTTGCATATTGGTTTACTTTTTTTTTTTTGCTTGTTCTTGATGATAAGCCACAGAGATTCTGGTTGAAAGTAATTTCAGGAATTTGATTGTCTCATGCTATGAATCTGCTATTGCTGAATAACTGAAATGCTGCTCACTTGTTGGCATGTGCCCTCACTCCATATTGTACTGTACAACAGTACAAGTTTCAGAAACAGAAGATGTGCATTAGGTACGTAGCTGAGAAATATCTGAGTATCTGACTAACAACCTACAGTTACTAATGTGTAGTTGTATGAACTATCAAGGTGCGGCGCAGTGCAGTGTGTGTTCCTCTTCTCCACAGGGTTACACTCACACACTTAGAGGATGTTAGCAATTCAATGTCTGCATGCCGCAATATAATGTTACATACAGTGCAGTGGCAGTCCATCATTGAGTTAAGCTAGTGCCTCCTTGCTTTTTTTATAAGTTCCCTTCTTTGATTCAGACTGAAATATAATGGGAAAAAAGGTGCTTATCTATTTACTTGGTTCTTTTAGCTTGTGATTGACTATCTGGATTAGGATTTAGGAACCGGTGCTTTGCTCTTTGATTGGGTGACACTTCAACGAACATCACTAAGAACATCTTGCTTGAATTAGTTCGTACCTGATCCTACTAAACTTTGGTAATAATAACACACACACACACACACAAAGAAAGAAATGAGTGTGCAACCATTCATGTACGTTCAGTGTATAGTCTTTTTGACTTGTCGATTTCCATCGCTATGTTTTCTGTCACGCGTCTAATTTTAGCTTCCATACAAATGATAGATGGTGGTAGATCAAACTCCAGAGCATTTGAAATTGTTTCAGTTGATTTAATTATCCCATGATTTTTTTTATGTAGGGATGCACCGCCCATTTACGGTTGATGATTTTCCAAGGCTTAGTAGTGATCATTCTGCGCAGACTGAAGCGCGGTATAGATTTCCAGATCTTTGCCTTCAAGGCCCTTTGCCACTCATTCTTTTCCGTGCCTTCAACGATCCTCTCACTGACAAACGCAGGCATTGGTTTGGTTCTGATTACCGACTCGATGACGAATCTGAAAGTAAATGCCTTCTTTAAATTAACTTCTTTGAGTTCTCTGGTGCTTTCTTTTGTCATATCATCATCTATAGATTACTGTAAACCTGCACATATTTCTCATTCTTTAGTCATCAATTTTGCAGTCAATGTCAACAGCGCTCGGACCGTTGATTGCTTAAATGGGTGTAGGTGCCATTCGATGAATCTGCTCCAGTTGATTGATCTGTAAATCTCTGGATATCGCCATACCCAGCCTGGACGTGCCAAAATCTTCGGGTTTTTTGCGGTGCGGGATGACTTGGAACCTCTGCGCAACTATGTCTTTAGGCATGCGATTGACAATTATGAAGCTGTCTCTGTGAAACCAAAGACGGTAATTTAGTTTGCAAACATGTGACTGTTTGCTTCCATACTCATGTTTTGGCATATTGACATTTAGTAATTATTTTCGTAAGTTTGGATATTTCTCTCAATGCATGTAGCACAATCCAATCTAACAGTAAGACTTAAAATAACATCGTCACTGTACATAGCATTTTTCTTGATTGCATTCTTACACATGTACTGGTGGTATGTGATGTTACTGAAGAATAACTCAAATACATGATGTAATACTTGGTGTTCCTCATTGTAGGGTATGGCATGTTTACCATTGACTAGCCCAGCTCGAGGTATTTGCATTACAAGCCGTGCACTGTTTGAATTCCAACTCTGTATTCGGACTGAAGACTCACCTGAGGCTGAGGATGAGCCCAAAGGTGGCACATTGATTGAAGGATGCACTGAATTCACCAACATTTTGAGATCAACATCATTCACCGAAACTGTCCGTCTGTATGGTGAGAAGTGTGGGTTGGGTGTGAAGTTTCTTCTGCTTGTAAATGCAGTTCAAGCAACAGTTGATGTTGAGATTATACATTCACGTGCTTGTGGCCTTAATCTGAAGTTATATGCCAAAACCAGTGGCTTCAGCGATGTGCTCCGTCTCTTCCGAGGTGTTGCACAATCTAGTCGCAAAATTAGTTCTGTTGTGGCGGTGGTGAGACGTAGTCACCTTGATCTCTGTATTGAAGGGTCTCCAGCGGATATCGATCTTGGTGAGAAGCTGCCTTGTACAAGGTGGGAGCACAGATTTGGTGCTGGTTTTCATGGAACTGTAGAGGAAGTGGTGAAGCTTGGTGATTTCACTACCATTTCTGTGAAAGTCACCTGGAAAGCTGTCAGCAAGCTTCCGCCTTGAATGGATAGAGGGGCTTCTATCTATGCATTGTAAAAACTGGAGTGTTATCTGAGTGGCATCTTTTGTAAGCTATTTCCATGTATTAGTATAGCATTTACTCCTAACTCTTTAGACTTCGATCTGCCCTAGTGTTATGGGCAATCCTGCCAGATTAATGATAAACTCTTGGAAACATTTGCGTGATGGTAATTGAATCCTTATTTTGGTGCTAGTCTGTAGAAGTTGAGGGAGTATGTGTTCAATAATTTGTGTTGATCAAATCCTGAAATATGCTTTGCACATGACAGAGAAAACTATTGCCATGCATGCAGTTAGTACAGTGGCACAACAGAATAAGGGAGAACAAAATATCTGACAAACTTCAATCTGATTGACAAAACTTGTATATATGCGGGTCAATTGCAACATTGGGGATATCACTACAAAACTGACGTTTTGGACATCTACCGCTACAAAAATTGGCTCAGGAAGATGCCACACAGCTTTGTAGTTCGCATGTACATATATCTTCAGACACACCTACCAAGTCTAACTACTATTTTCTTCATTGCCAAGCTAGGTTGTGGCAAACAAGTTTCACAAAGAAGATTAATGTGGGAACTAACTAGATCTTTTTACAATAATGACAAGAAAAAAAATACGTATTAAAAAAACGAAAAAAATGAAAAGATATAGAAAGAAAAAAACCCCAAAAAACAAAAAAGGGAAACCACGCAAAAAAAGAAAAAGAAACCGTGTCATTGGCGGAAACCGCACAAAAAAAAAAAAAGAAACCGCGCCGTCCGCCGCCCCCTCTCCGCGCGTGACACGTGTCCAGTCGCACGGGGAGGGCGTGTGCGACTGGTCACGAATTAGCACTTGCGATTGTCGTGGATAAACACTCGCCAATTAGCCCCCCCCCCCCCCCCCGCCTCACCACCTATGCGCATTTATGAAGCAGCCGTTAGCCCATTACCGACTACTAGCCCACCACTGGCTGAACCACCGTTATCGCTAGTCTTTGGGCTGCCACATGCTAAACTCGTTGTAGGTTCCTTTAGGCTCTTTTTGGGAGCTTACGATTATAAGAATTTATTGGTTGGTAGCCGCTTTTGAGAACATAGAGAAGCTGGGTTTTCCAGCTTTTGGATTCTAGTTCATTTTCTATATTTTATAACTACAGATTCTTAGTTCTGGGTGACAATTTAAACTGTTTGGGGAGAGCTGGAGATTTTGTGAGAAGCTGTAGCTGCTAAAAACTTCCCAGACAGGTCCTTAGGCACTGCATTGCAAATTCCAAGTCAGTTTATTCTTTCCTGCAAAAAAAAAAACTGTAAAATTGGTTCATTTTTTCCTCTAAATTTCTCAATCTCAAGGAGGCGCATGTATGTAATTTTTGTGACGCATTGCATCGGAAGTTCCCGGACATTTTGCTCACTCGCACAAATAACTCTGCAGTTTGTTCAATTTGCACGAAAATTCATCTAAATTCTCTCCCACCTGGAGTAGGAAGCTATACAAAAGCTTATGTACAGTAGGATTAGCGTTAGTGCCCTGCAAAGTCGACACGTGGATCCCCTTTCCCCCTCCAAAAATCAGTGGACCCACCCGTCAGTGACACAAAACGCCATGCCGCGGGCCCCACACGGCAGCGATGTGGTCCCCACTGCGGCCCGCGCGTGGTTTATTGCCGCCCTTTGCTTTGCTTCCTCGATTTCTCCTCTCGCTAGGGTTTGTGGGTGAGAGCGGCGGCGGCAGTGGCCGCGGCGGAGTTGAGGAGAAATGGAGGTCGACGGAGGCGGAGACGAGTCGTCGGCGGCGACCCCTGACCCCGGCCGCGGGAAGAAGAGGCCGCCTTCCCCCTCGACTCCTCCGACGCCGAGCGACGATGGGGAGGACTCCGACGACAGCTGGGCTGTCAGCGACGAGGAGGAGGAAGAGGAAGAGGAAGACGAAGAGGACCAAGAAGGTACATGATGAGTTCTAAATCGCTTATCTGAAATTACCTTGTTCAATTCTCGGTTTTAAATGTTCCCCTTCCTATTTAGTTAGTGCGCTAGCCACAGAGTTCTTGCTCTTCTTGATGATAGGCAACATATATTTCTGGTTTAAAGTAATTTCAGGAATTTGATTGTCTTATGATAAATTGATAAACCATGCTAAAGAGAGGGGAGGGGGGATAGCATAATGCAAGTCTGCTACTGCTGAATAACCTGAAATGTTGTTCCACATATTGCCTCATTCCATATTGTACAAGAAACAGAAGAGGAGCATTAGGTACATATATAGCTGAGAAAAACTGACTAGCAATCTTTTCTGAACTATTATCAAGGTGCAGTTCAGTTCAATCTGTGTTCCCTCTCCACAGAGTTACAGTGACGTGCTTGGAGAATGTTAGCAACTCAATTTTACATGCCACAGTATAATGTTAAATGCAGTGCAGTGCCAGTGGCAGTCCACCATTCAGTTAATCTAGTGCCTCCTTGCTTGTTTTTTTTTATGTTCCCCTCTTTGATTCAGACTGAAATAGAATTGAAAAAAGAGGTGCTAATCAATTTCCTTAATTTTTTAGCTTGTGATTGACTACCTGGATTAGGATTTAGGATCCAGTGCTTGCTCTTTGATTGGGTGACACTTCAAGGAACATCACTAAGAACATCTTGCTCGAATTAGTTCCTACCTGATCCTACTTGTTATGAACTTTGACAATAATAATGCAGAAAAAAAAAACATGCAACCTTTTATTTTACGTTCAGTATACAGCCTTTTTGACTTGTCGATTTCCATTGCCATGTTTTCTGTTAATTGTCTAATTTCATCTTCCACACATATGATTAGATGGTGGTACATCAAACTCCAGAGCCATGGAAATTGTTTGAGTTGATTTGATTATCCTATGATTTTTTATGTAGGAAAGCACCGCCCTTTTACAGTTGATGATTTTCCCAGGCTTAGTAGTGACCATTCTGTGCAGACTGATGCACTCTTTGATATTCCACATCTTCGCCTTGGAGGCCCGTCACCGCTCAGTCTTTTCCGTGCATTCAATGATCCTCTCACTGATAAACGCAGGCATTGGTTTGGTTCTTATTACCGACTCGATGATGAATCTGAAAGTAAATGCCTTCTTTAAATAAACTCCTTTAAATTTTCTTGTGCTATCATTTATCACATCATTGTCTATATTTGACTGTGGAACCACACATATTTCTCATTCTTTCGTTATCAATTTTGTAGTCAGTGTCGACAGCGCTGGGGCCGTTGATTGCTTAAATGGGTGTAGGTGCCTTTCGAAGAATTTGCTCCAGTTCATTGACCTGAAAATCTCCGGCTATCGCCATACTCAGCCTGGACGTGCCAAAATCTTCGGCTTTTTTGCGGTGCGGGATGACTTGGAACCTCTGCGCAACTATGTCTTCAGGCATGCAATTTACAATTATGAAGCTGTATCTGTGAAGCCAAAGACGGTAATTTAGTTTGCAAACATGTGACTGTTTACTTCCATACTTATTTTTTGGCACGTTGACATTTAGTCACTATTTTGTAAGTTTGGATATTTCTTTCAGTGCAAGAACACAATCACAATCTAGTAAAACTTATTAACATCGTCACTGTACATAGCACTTCTCTTGATTGCGTTCTTACACATTTACTTGTGCTATGTGATATTACTGAAGAATAACTCGTATACATGATGTAATACTTCGTGTTCCTCATTGTAGGGTATGGCGTGTTTACCATTGACTAGCCCTGCTTGAGGTATCTGCTTGACAAGCCGTGCGCTGTTTGAATTCCAACTCTGTATTCGGACTGAAGACTCACCTGAGGCTGAGGATGAGCCCAAAGGTGACACATTGATTGAAGGATGCACTGAATTCACCAACATTTTAAGATCAACATCATTCACCAAAACTGTTCGTCTGTACGGTGAGAAGTGTGGATTGGATTTGAAGTTTGCTCTGCTGGTTAATGCAGTTCAAGCTACAGTTGATGTTGAGATTATACATTCACCTCCTTGTGGCCTTAATTTGAAGTTATATGCCAAAACTAGTGGCTTCAGCGATGTGATCCGTCTCTTCCAAGGTGCTGCACAATCTGGTCATAGAATTAGTTCTGTTGTGGCGGTGGTGCGACGTAGTCACCTTGATCTTTGTATCGAAGGGTCTCCAGCAGGTATTGGTCTTGGTGAGAAGCTGCCCCGTGTAAGATGGGAGCACAGATTTGGTGCTGGTTTTCATGGAATTGAAGATGAAGTGGTGAAGCTTGGTGATTTTAGCACAATTTCTGTGAAAGTCACCTGGAAAGCTGTCGGCAAGCGTCCGGCGCCGAAGGGATAGTGGAGCTTCTATGCAAAGTAAAAACTGGAAGATGTTATGTGTGGCAACTTTTGTGAGCTATTTCCATGTATTAATATAGAGTTTAACTCTTGGCATGCTAAACTTTGGTCTGCCCTAATGTCTTGGGCAATCTTGCTAGAGCAATGATAAACTTTTGTAAACATTTGCGTGATGCTAATTGAATTCTTATTTCGGTGCTACTCTGTTGTCTATGGAAGTTGATCAAGGAGCACATGTTCAATAATTTGTGTTGACTAAATCCTGAATATGCTTTGCACATGACAGTTTAATGATCCATGTGACACCTTGCAGACTCTATCTTTGCTAGTTAGTTGCTGTTTATCTTGAAGCTTTTACCTTAATAAGATGTAAATGCTAGAGATTCCTATGCTAATTGTGAAATAGAGAAATAACTTGAAATCCTCACAATAATCCGAGGAATGAAGATCTGAGGCATACAATTTCTGTTTCGCAACATGGAACTTGTTTAGCTATGTCTCCCGTACTCATGATCCAAAAAAGTATCGAAAGGAACAAACAAAAATTTCACTTTTCACCAACCAATTTCTCAATTGGAGATAACATACTGCTTGGATTAGTACTCTACACGAGACGAGGTCTAATTATTGGAGGCACAAATCGAAGTAAAGAAGAAATAATATGATTTAAAGAGACATACATCAATTGACTCTGAAAATAGTCGCGAAATAAAATAACCAAGCAAAGCAATTGTCATGCATGCAGTAATGTGCAGTGGCACACATCTTGAATAAACAGAAAAGATATCCGGCAAAAGTTTTTTGCGAACGCGCAAAAGGATTGCACGTCAATATATTAGCAGGAAAAGAGTTTTTGTTACACAAAGCAATCAGCTAGACTGGCTTATGCCTAAAGGGGGGGGGGGACTTGAAGCTAGGAACTACTACGACGGTTAAAAACGCAACTCCAAACAGCGGGAGGGGGCAGAGCCACGCTACACTCCCAAGAAATCCCCAAAACAAGCAACACCGGCTAAAGACCACAGCTGGCCCTCCGAGCGGAAGGACTCTAGAACCACTGCGACCGAAGCGAGCGCAGAGTCGAAAACCCTGGAGTTTCGTTCCTTCCACAGCTGCCAGGAGACTAGGAGTACCAAGGAGTCGAAGCTGCTGCGAAGGTGCTCAGGTAAACATACCCTGGAGGATGACCACCAATCCTGGAGCCAGCTGCCATGAGGGGGAGAGAGGGCAGCCCAGCCAGGAGGGGACAACACACGGAGCCAGACCTGCCGAGCGAACACGCAATCGATGAGGATGTGGTTCGCTGTCTCAAGCTCCTGAGCGCAAAAGGGGCAAGCAGAGTGGCTATCGATACCACACTTTTGGAGAAGATCGGCAGTCCAGCAGCGCTGCTGAAATGCAAACCAAAGGAAGAACTTGCATTTAGCAGGGCCCTTCGCGTGCCAGAGTAAGTCGGCACAGGCAAAAGAGTGCTGGCCAAGGAAGAACGCCTGATACGCCGATTGCGCTGAGTAGCACTGGTCACCCGTCCAACACCAGACGAGGTGATCCTCAACACCCGGCGAGAGCTGGGTAGGAACCACCGCGTCCCAGACTAACAGGAACTGAGAGATGACCGGGACAGTGAGGGCGCCACGTATGTCACCAACCCAGGAGTTGTTCGCTAACCCAGCAGCAACTGTGTGCGATCCCCGGAAGCGTGGAGGCACGACGTGGAGGAGGTCAGGAGCTATAGAAGCTATCGAGCGACCATCGATCCACCGATCAGTCCAGAAGAGCGTGGACTGACCATCTCCCAGGATAGAGAAGGTGGATGTTGTGAACATATCGGAGACGCTCCGCTCAACAGGGGCCTTCAGATCAGACCAGTAGGGGTGTCCTGAGCGCTGAAGCCAGAGCCAGCGAACTCTCAAGGCAAAACCAGCCACCCGGAGATCTGGAATGCCCAGTCCACCGAGATCCCTAGGACGACAAACCCTCGTCCAGGACACCCGGCACTGTCCCCCATTGGCCGAGTCCGTACCTGTCCACAAGAAGGCGCGACGCTTCTTGTCAATGGCTTTGATAACCCAGCTTGGCAAGCCGATCGCCATAGAAACATGGACCGGGATGGAAGAGAGAACCGACTGGACTAGAACCGAGCGACCCGCCAGAGTGGTTAGACGGCCCTTCCAGGGGGGGAGCCGATGGGAGACTTTATCCACAAGCGGCTGCAGGGCCGCTTTTGGCAGCTTGCGAACTGACAGTGGAATGCCGAGGTAGGTGCAGGGAAACTCCGAGATCGAGCAAGGAAAAGAGGACTGAACCAGCTCCAGGTCAAGAACCGAGCAGCGGATCGGAGTAATCGAGCACTTGGTGAAGTTGGTCCGAAGCCCGGAAGCGGCACCGAAGACAGAGAGGATGCCTTGGATGAACTCAAGGTCTTGCCGAACGGGGGAAAGGAAGAGAACTAGATCATCGGCGTAGAGGGATGCACGATGTCGAATAGCATGATCATTGAGGGGAAGAAAACCACCCGAGTCAGAGGCTTTGCGGAGCATCGCATTGAGCACATCCATGACTAGAATGAAAAGCATGGGGGAAAGAGGATCTCCTTGGCGAAGACCTCTCCGATGGGGGAACCGTGGACCTGGCACCCCATTAACCAGCACCCGGGAAGAGGAGGCACTGAGAATGAGGGAGATCCAATCACGCCAACGTTGACTGAAGCCAAGCTGGGCTAGCACCTCAAGCAAGAAAGGCCAGCTGACCGTGTCAAAGGCCTTCGCGATATCCACCTTGAGAAGAAGTCGGGGAACGCGTTTGGCGTGGAGCGCCCTTGCCGCAAGCTGGACATAGCGGAAGTTGTCATGGAGAGAGCGGCCCTTGATGAAAGCGCTCTGATTAGGCGCCACAAGCTCGTCCAGGCGAGGGGAGAGACGAGAGGCCAAGATCTTGGAGAACAGCTTCCCAAAGCTGTGAATAAGGCTAATCGGCCTGAAATCCTTAACGTCAACAGCCTCGTCCTTCTTCGGCAAGAGGGAGATTAGGGCGTCGTTGAGGGAAGCGAAACCTTGGCCGTTGGTCAGGAACAAGGAGTTAAGAGCCGCCAGAATTTCGACCTTGATCACCGGCCAGCAAGACTTGTAGAAACGGCCCGTAAAATCGTCAGGACCGGGCGCCTTATCAGAGGGCAAGGACTTGATCACCGCCCAGACCTCATCCTCTGTGAAGGGACAGTCCAGCCCCTCAAGCTGCGCAGGGCGGAGGCCAAGAGAGTGGAGGTCTAGGGCGAGTTCACGCTCGACGCTCGTCCCCAAGATGGCGCAAAAGTGAGAGGAGGCAAGCTCTTGCAGCGCATCATGGGAGACGGCAAGCTGGTCACCATCACAAAGGCGTGTGATGAAGTTCTTCCGCCTACGAGCTCTGGCGTGCAGGTGGAAGAACTTGGTATTGGCGTCACCCTCCTTAAGCCAGACCAAACGCGAACGCTGACGCGCGATAGTACGCTCAAGCGAGGCAAGACCAAGACACTTCAACTTTAAATCTCGCCGCAGCCAGGTCTCCAAGGAGGAAAGAGACCGACTCTCCTGCGCAACATCAAGCCGGAAGACAAGTTCCTTCGCCATCTGAAGCTGTAGACGAACACTGCCAATGTGACGGTCACTCCAGCTCTGTAAGCGCTTGGCCGTGGTAGAGAAGCACCAGGCAAGAGCGGCAAGAGGGGGTAGGTTGGCAGGGGGATGCCAGGCGTCCTGCACGACTTGAAGAAAGCCGTCGAACTTGGGCCAAAAGGCCTCAAAACGAAAACGAAGCGCTTTCGGGGAGGTGACGCAGGTATGAAGGAGAAGAGCACAGTGATCAGAGGCGATAGAAGAGGCCGCTTGGAGGAGGCAAGAGGGGAAAAGCTCCTCCCAATCCGCGGAGAAGAGAACGCGGTCGAGCTTAACAAGCGTGGGCGACTCACGCTCATTGCTCCAAGTGAAGCGACGTCCGTGAAGCGGCAGCTCCCGGAGTTCCAACTCGTCGACGAGCCGACGAAAACGACCCATCATACGACGATTGAGATTAAGGTTGTTTTTATCCTGAGCTTCGAGAATGAGGTTGAAATCGCCTACGACGGCCCACGGCCCCGTGCGAGAGGAGCGCAGCGAACGAAGCTCATCTAAGAAACGAAGCTTGTCCGGCTCCTCCTGTGGCCCATAGACGACGGAGAGCCACCAGGGGGCGACATCAGAAGAGTGTCGAACCAACGCGGTAAGAGAGAATTCCGCAAGGTGAACATCTGAGACAGACCAGACGGTCGTCCGCCAGGCAAGCAACACCCCCCCACTCCGACCGACCGCAGGCAAGAAAGAATAATCAAAGTCGAGGCCTAGCATTTCCAGAATAGTACGAGAGGGGATTACATCCATAATAGTCTCCTGAAGACAGAGAAGAGAGACATGCTCATCACGGACTACATCACGCACAGCATCCCGGCGGGCGCGCGAGTTCAGACCTCGCACGTTCCACACCAAAATGTTCTCGTTGCATGATCCCATTGAGGGGGACCACACCGAGAGCAGAAGAGAAGAAACCGATCAGCCGCACACGACCAACTCCTCCGCAGCCTTGGCCGGGGGCAAGGAGCTAGAGAAGAGCGAGGAGAGCGCGATGATGTGCTCCTGGGAAAGTGGCTTGGAGAAGAGGGCGTTGTAAGCCGCGACCGCCTCGGCCGTGACCGGGCCCCTCTCCGGAACTAGGCCGAGCTTCCGCATCAGGTTGCGCTGGGCGCGCGACACTGCGTGGATCGGCCCCTCAAGCGCCTCAAGTGCCATCTTAGCAGCGATACGCTCACTGCGCTTCGGCACAACTCCCACCGCCTTGGCAGCGAGAGGCGGCAGCGGCAAAGGCGGCGATAGGAGCGCAGGAGGGAGAGGCCTGGAGCAGCTGGTGAGGAAGGCGCGAAGAGCGGCGTTGTCTGCCACAGAAGATGGAAGCGAGTGCGCCAGTGGGCGGCCATCGAGGTCAAGGACAACCATCGGCACATCGTAGAGGACGCCGTCAGGCACATCAACCACCAAAGTTGGAGCCTGCTGAGGAAGCGGCGACTCAGGCCTCAGCCACTCCCCACCAGTAGGCGGTGTGCAGGCAGTCCTCGGCAGAGAAGTGCCTGCACCGGAGGCGGACGGCGGCACAGGCGATACCCTGGGCGGCGAAGGCACAGCCGGACCAAACTCCGCGGCCAGGGCGTCGAGCTCGTTGAAGAAGAGACCAGTCGGCTCGGCGTAGGAGGCCGCGATCCCATCGGCCAACAACGGCGATATCTGACAAACTTCAATATTCTGATTGACAAAACTTATAAAGCCTGCTCAATTAGGGGGCTCCTCTAGAAACAACATCTGCTACCATGCATATGTACATAGCAGCATTGTAGATGCCACTACAAAACTGACATTTTGGAGTACACGTGCTGCTACAAAAATTGGCTTAGGCAGATGACCTTGTACTAGTTCACTATGTTCATATATCTGAAGACACATCTACCAAGCATGCCCAGTTAACATGTTCTTAATTGCCAGGGTTGTGGCAAGCAAGTTTCACTAACAAGAATGTGACACCTATTTATACAATAATGACAACTAACAAGATAGTAACATTCAAAATTTCAGAGCATGTATGTGAGTGAGCACTGGAATTTCCTAGCACCCTGATTAGTTGTTTTGACTCAAGAATAGCATCCAGACTCCTCAATGCTTCTTGCTGCTGCTGCTGCTGCTGCCCTGGCCTCTTGATTGTTTCCGAGCTTGTCGTCCATGCGCAGCTTCAGTCTGCTCACCCACCCATTCATCCCACCTTGACCGGCACATGATCCCAAAAGTTTTCACAGCATTCTTCACTATCTCTGAGGTTTCTTCTGAGATAATCACCTCCATCTCATAACCGTTCTCATCATAGAAGTTCCTGCTCATGCCACACCAATTGTTTATCAACTCCTTATCAGTTCCAACCACTGCCACCAGATTTTGGGTCAACGAATTCATCATTTTTTGTTCCACAGGTAGAAGCCGAGGGCCTTCAAAGAGCAGGATAAGGAAAATGGCGACCGCTTCTTTAGCTTTCTTCAGATCTCTCCTACCCTCACCATATCTAGCCAAAGTATGGAATGCTGCAAGAAGTTGATGGTACCCAATCTTCAGCTCTGACACTTCGCATCCAAGTAAACTAGGATACATCCCGTTGGTATGAAGTGACTGAGAGTTCTTCATTATGTTTGGAAGAGTGTCGTGATCAATCTCAAATCTGTTCCCTTTATCAGTAATAAATCCTCTGAACCAATTCTGATACTTATCAGCTACTAAACAGAGCCTCAAGTTACCATCTGTAATTTCTATGATGTATATTCCATTAACATCAGTTAAATTTTGAGCTGGAGTTACTGGGACAATCATTTTCTTTCCATCCACAACAAAGGTGAACTTCACATCAGTGTCCTTTCTCATAGCTTTTATGATATCCTCGACACGTGTATCATAATTCTCAGCAATTTTTTTCATATCTCCAATCTTAAAAGTCGCGATAGGATCAGGGATTTCCTTTATCCATACCAACAAACATATTTAAGATTTATGAACTAGATACTGAAGTATCAAGTTAATGCACACGAAACAGTACTATTGCACCTGTACACTATTGTGATTTTAAAGCTTAGTTTTGTGTCAACTCTAAATGAACATATTAGTGATTGTAAGACATAAAAACAACATCACAGTATATAATAGAAAACAATTTATTAGATACACTTTGACTAAGCAAGTTAAACAACACCAAATAGGGATGTAATTTTCTTTTAAAAAAGGGATTGACTGGACCTTATGCTTGTATTTATGCACAATTCATATATGCACTACATATGCTCCCAAATGAATTTATTGCAACAAAATGCATAGTGCTTTATCAATATTTTTATACAGTGGCATGAGAGTGTCACAGGGTTGTAGGGCAGGATGCAGATACAATCCATTAAATATTTCCAGATGTACTAGACATACTCCCAGGTTCCGTTGAAAACAATGAAACAAAACATCATTAAATATTTATGATATAAATGTCAATTTGTCAAATAACAAACATCAATTAGCAGTATATGTGGTGTGTATGTAAACTGCTTATTTTTCACTAATACTTAGAGTGGTGTTGTATAGATTAATCATTTCAAACTTTGCAATGCAAGACATATCCAATTGGAACCAGGAGTCTATGACTAGATATAATTATTTCAAATGCCACTAATGAGCAATTACTTGCATAAAAATATATAATGAAGAATTAAATTATCATATAGCAGTAATAGAAATGATCAACCACACGATTTTGAATAAGAAAAGCAGGAGTAATTAACACCAACAGCTAGGTAACATGGCAACATCTCTGTTGGAGAGCTTTGTCTAAAAACTGAAGGGAAAATAATTGCAGATCAAGGTATAGTAATATAGTTCTGCCAATTAAACTCAAAACGAGTCTTAGAGGCATTAACACACTTACTGCATCCAGTTAGAAGGGTGGCTTGACTGGCTCATTCGATTGATCAACTCGGGCCTTTTGTTTTCCTTTCTTTGGGGCCATTTCTCCTTTCGTTCCTTTGTCAAGCTACGATGTTTTCCTACTTCTGCACACCCAACCAAACAAATATGACTATAGGAAACAAACAAATATATACATTCCAATTTACAGTAATTCAAAAAGGAAATGTAAATGCAAATGCAACTGTTGGAAGTGATTTTTTTGGGGGAGAAGTGGAGGATTTGCCACTCCAAAACGTTGCATCTATTTGCGGAATCTGTACCATCTATCAACAAATTAAGAATTACTAGTTGACATTCCTGTATCATTAGATTTGAGATAAGATGGCTTGTATATATGACCCATTTAATTTGTTTATTTATATATACACAGGGGTGCTAGTTAGCTAGCAATGCAAGCATGTACTTAATGTGTATAAGTAACTGGAACTAGCTATATATAGATGGGAATTGTAAGATTGATTAATTAATGTAGCACAACATTGGTATAAATCTCTAAAGGCCTTGTTCGGTCAATGCTTCCCAAAGAGGATTGAGAGGATTTGTTCTATAACTATTGCGATGTGAAATTAATCCCCACAATCCTCATCAATCTCTTTCTCATAGAGATTAACCGAACGAGCCCTAAACAAAAATGATCGATCCATCTCACTTTGCTCGTCCCAAATCTCTCCTATATATGTCAATTTAATCCAATGATCAGCATTAATTTATTAGGCATTATTTTTAATTTGTAACATAATCAATGCAACAGAATCAACACGGTAGTGATTAATTTGCAACAGAATGAGAATCAGCTAGGCAAAATTAATTAATTAACTAAGCACAAATTAGAATGTTGTAGTAGTAGTAGTAGGAATAAATTACATGATTGCATTAGCGCATCACAAGCGAGCTGCAGCACAAACCAGAGGGAGAGGGAGGGAGAGCGAGAGCCGGCCGAGAGATATTGGAGCTGGATGGATGGATCGTCGATCGGGGAGCAGTGGATCCGTCGAGATGGAGCCACAGCCGCGGCCGAGGACGAGATGAGACGAAGAGGAGGCGATCGCGAGAGGCGATTGCGGCTAATAAGACGGCGGGATGGTCGTCGTCGTCGGCGGCGGCGGCCATTGGAGGGAGAGCTAGCGCGCGCGCGCGCGACGACACGATGGATGGATGGAGCTAGCGGCGCGCGCGGGGGTGGAGTGGAGTGGAGTAGTGCAGTGTGAGGAAGAAAGCCCTAGCTAAGGCGCTGCGAAATCCAACCAATGGGGTGGGGGTGCTTGGCGCTTGGCGCTTGGCTTGCTGCTGCTTTGCTCCCCGACCAGGGCGCTTGGCTTGGCTTGCTCGACCGATCGGGTTCGTGGGGGAGGTGGGTCCCGCGCGCGCCCTTTCCCGAATTGGAATGGGTGCTTCCATCTGCTGCTTCTCTCTCTCTCGATCGTGTGCATCGAGCTAGAGCTTTGCTTGTTGCTTGCTGGGTGGGTCCCACATGTCAGCACGCTCTCAGCGCATCTCACGCCAGGTACTACTAATCCTCACCTTGTTACCATGTCATACCACGTAGTAGTACGCTATTACTACTCCTGCTCCTACCATGTAATCCCTCTTCCATGTTATTCTACCAGCCTCGTCATAGAATAAGCCAAACGACATATTTGCAAATGAAAAGTAATCTGTGAATAAAACTTTTATATACGTGTTCTTAGCGATCTAAGAGCAAAGGCTGAAAAATAAATTTTGATAAAAAAAAACTCTAAAATCAGTTATAAATTTAAGGTCGAAAATTTAAATTTTGGCTGATAAGCACAAGCATAAACAAAAAGATAAGACTGTACCTCCCTTTTTGTTTTTACATATAACATCGTTGACTTTTCACGTAACATTTGAACATTCGTTTTATTTAAAAATTTATTATAAATATGTACAAGTATAAGTTAAGACTATAGTTTATTTGATGATAAAAAGTCACAACAAAATAAATATCATTTTTATATTTTTTTAATAAGATGAATGATTAAATATCACGTCAAAAGTTAACGGCGTCATACATTAAAGAACGGACGGAGTAATTAAGATGTTTTGGCCTCTCTATTCCTCATCTAGAGTCCCTAACATCCATATGAATTTGGAGGCATATATGAATCCATGTATAAATCTATTAAAAACTAAAACATCTTATCATGTTGTGAAATAATAGTATATAATATAGCTATAAATTAAGTGTACGAGTTTTATACAATGGCATAGTTATATACTCCCTCCATCCCAAAATATAAATGATTTTGGATGGATGAAACATATCCGAGTATTATAAATCTGAACATGGAGTATATACAGATTCGTAATACTAAGATATATTTTATCTCCTCTAAAATCTCTTATATTTTGAGACGGGAAAGTATGCACTGGCTTCCTATGCTAGCTAGTCACAGCTTTCCCAGCAATTAATTGCTGCCCGGTTACACGTAGTAATATACAGATCGAGCCAAGTGATCAGTATAGCTATAGGAGTCGCCGAGTCGATGTATGACTCCCCCAACCAAACTAGCTGCTAGGACGTACTCCTAAGTAGACATGCATACTCCATCCATCCTATAAAAAAACTAAAGTAATACTGGATGTAATACATCCTAGTATATTAATATGGATATCATTCTAATCACATCCAGTACTAAACTGATTTTTTTAGGACGGAGGTATAGTAGACGTGAGTGTAATCCTCAGAGCTACTACTACCTCGAAATTTTCCAATGAATGACACTAAATAGTTGTCACTCTACTATGATTTACATTTTGTCTTTAAAAACTTGTCACTCTAAAGCACCCTTTTGTCCTACCAATCATCTCCAATTCATATATATTGTTCTAGAGAGAATAAAAACTGGCATTAAGTGATTCTATATGGAATGAGAACTGGGTTCTGGACTGTTGTTGCTATTACGTATTCTGGACAACAACAGATACCATCTTACAGTAAAACCATCATCCATACAGCTTTACTGCCAAAAATAAGGAACAAATACAAAGGAATCGAAAAATGCCGGTCCAATCCAAAAGAATCTGTAACAGCTACAAAATGGATCATTCGTGCGTCCTACTATCTGCTTATCATTTGGCTAACAGAAGTGTACGATCCAACGCAGGCGCACAGGATGCCAAGCAGTATGATTGTTATGCATAAGACAACCTGAAAGGAAGAGAAAAGTTATAGCTTGTATTAGTAGACAGCGCTAGCATTTTCAGGACTAAAAATATTTGTGGATCTGTTGGTGCTTTTTTTTTTATCTGCATCATGAGTTAATTACCTCCCACAATGGTGTTGAACCCTTCTTGATAGAGAGATAGCATGCGCATGGGAGGATCAGGGCCTGCAAATGCAATTTGTGGAGCAAAATATCATAGTAAGTTTCTGAGTGATTTGATCTGTTAAACAAAGTAATAAGTAATGCAGAATTTTAGGTTAGTCAGAAAACTCACCACGAGCATTGTGAAGACAGATCCAAGCAACGCCATCACCAGTGCTGCAGCACAAGTGGGTCAAGAGTAGCATTAGCATGCATGATGTTTTGGAGTTAATTTCATCAATTATCAAAGAACTAATATTCAGTTAATAAACTACTCACCAAAGTATGGAAATGTCAAAGCTACAACAACAGTTGAGGCGACAAGAGCTGTCCTAACACACATTCCAACTTGGTAAGTCTGCATCCTTCTAGGTAGAGCCTCCTCTATCGACAGGGCGACCGGTGTTAATGTCAAGGCATACTTTGTGTATGGGTTTATAATCTGAAGGAAGAAAAAGATCAATTATGGTAATGAACATCACTGCATTGAATTTTGACGCATTAGCATAATACTAACTATCAAGAGTTTCATCGTACCGTCATCCCAATGGCGATTTTGGAGGGAATAAATTGCTGTGGCATGTTCAGAGTGAATTGTGACATTGTGGACTCGCCAAACATCAGAAATCCTGCGACAGCGACTCCAGCATATACAAACGTGACTACTATGAAGCTGAAACAGTAGAGTATAGTATATATTAGCACATATACAATTGACAAACTGTAACAGACACTGTACTAAATCAGGGTACAGGAAACAGTACTGTAGCATTTCATTTGTCTAATTTAGAACTTTATTACCAGAACAGCAGTACAAAGGTGAACTTTGGGCGTTCCTCCATCGACGAATATATGTTCGGAAAAACCGAGTGCCCTGAGTAGCAGTATCCATACAGGCCAAGTGCCACAGGAAAGTGGGTCAGATTCAGTGCAGTTCCACCAGGGTGGAACCCAACTCCTTCCCCAATCCCAACCCAGAACAAACAAACAATTACTGTCGTCGTCGCAATCACGCCTCCCGCTGTAAATGTTCCACAAGAAAATGGTCATGAGAAGCTCATAGTTCATTCAGAGATTAACAATAAGTGGAAATTACAGTGCATTTCTATTGTCCAGACCAAAGAAAAGATGGAGCTGACTTATGAACATATAGCATTAGCTTTGGAAGAGTAGATCAATCATGTGCAATGTCTGGTGTTGTTACTTACCAGAAAGATAGGAGAGGAGTCTGAGGTTCTTAAGCCAAACTGATGGTAGAATTGCCAAGGCCATTGTGATGGCGAAGAGATTGTGCGCGTTCAAGTAGATTCCACCAAAAGCTAGATCTGCAGACGGAAATACTGACGACAAACTGTCACCTAACAGCGTGATGTACTCCACACCGCATGCCTGCAAATATAAGATATCAGTATTCTCATGTATAACAATGATACATGAATGAACATGACCAGGTAGTCTCAGAATTCTGTGAGTACTTACATATAGCTCTAGATAAAGAACAACCTGAAAAAAGCGATCCGCACATTCAGATGTATTATACAGTAAGGGACGAAGGAAGTAAATTTTGCGAAAACTGTTTTCTCAAATGAGTCTGGAAATACACACCGACACGAATATCCGTCCGTAAATACCAAACGCAGCTTGTCCTATATCTGGATATGTGTCAATGCTCGGTGAACTGTCTATGCATTTCTTCAGAAGCAATCCGGTGTAGCAAGAACAGCAACCCAACAAGGGCAGCAGGATCAGGCTTAACCATCCACCTTGTTTGATTCCGTAACTTGTGGTGAGAATTCCAACTCCACACAGAACATTAAGCCCTGCAAATCCAATAAAGAAAGGAAGATTCAGAAGCAAATTTGTGAGAATTAGCAGTCCCTGTTAATCAAACAGACACATGAAAAATTCATCAGGCCCTGTTAATCAAACAGACACAGAAAAATTCAGAAACAAACTACTGGGGGCAATATATCCATAAATCTGAACCAAACTCCGTAAATTGTTTAGAACAGTTAGTGATATTCACTCAAAAAGTTTTCGATGGTATATTTTTTTTTTGGAAGACGGAAGTACACACCGACTGACCGACGCTCCTGCATTAAATCCACAACATCAGTTTTATTTTCAAGAATTAATTCTGCGGACGAAATTAAATTAAATATTGCTACCTCAAAGTATTTTCAAAAGTGGATTTACTCAGGATTGTTACTGAATTGAACTATCGCAAACAAACAATTGGACTTGACAAAAGGCGAATTACAAATTTGCAAAATAACACAAGATCAATTCATCGGGGGCATTCCAGTATGAACAATTAGCGAGGTAATTAATTGAACTCACCATTGAGGATGGCTTGCTTCTGCCCGCACCTGGTAGACGGCGGCGGCAGGTCGATGTAGTTGGATCTCAGGCACGCCGACGACGGCCTCGGCAGCGGCGGCGGCACCACGGACTCCCCCTGCAGCGGCGGCGGTGGCGGCCGCGCGCGCGGCGGCAAGCTGTCCGCCGAGTCCCTCACCGGCGGCCCCGACGCCGTCGACAGCTGCGACAGCGACGACGGCGGCAGCAGCGGCCTGGAGAGCGGCAGCGACGAGCCCTCCTGCCCCACCGCGCTGCTCGTGGCTCGCTTCAGGAGGGAGCTCCCCACCGCCGCCAACCTCCCCAGATTCGGGCTCGCCGCCGTGATGATCGAGCTCATCGCCGGCGACGGCACGGCGCTCATCATGTCAATCGATTGCCTGCAAAAAAAAAAACAAAAAAAATCTCGTCTGAAAAATCCGCGACACCGTCGGAGATAGTCAGATAGATCGATACCGACCTGAAGCTCTGTGGCCACGTGCCCCTCTGGTCGTCGTCGTCGTCGCGGGGCGCGCGGCGGCCATCGCCGACGACATCGTCGTCGTCCTCGTCGATGTCGTCGACGCTGGGAGGGTCGCTCCGGTCGGAGAAGGAGCCCGGGTCGGACGACGGCGTGGAGCCGCCGTCGCGGTCCGCCTCGAGATCGTCGTCCTCATCTCCGATGAACAGCAGCGATCTGTCTCCGTGCCCCATTTCCTCGTCACGATCCATCTCACCTCCCTACCAAAAAAATCCACAACCACATTGCTCGACTCAAACCAAACCAAACCAAACCCTCGCGCAAATCAAATCGAACGAGAAAAACAAAGAAGAGAGGTCGATCAAACAAACCAACCGAGCGTTCATCCACATCGATCCATCTATCGTTACCTGGCGGGCGGATCGGTCGATCGAGATCAATCTGCTGCGCGAGCTTGGGACGGAGAGAGACGCGCGCGCGCGCGAAGCGAGGCGAGGAGGAAGGAGTGGTGGTTTTGTTGGGCTTGCCTCTCGCTCCCTCTCTCACGCGCGCACGCACCGCCTTTTTATACTGCATGTGATGAGGGCGAACCCTAAAGAAGAGGAGGGGAGAAGAGATCGAAGAAGACGACGACGACCAGATTTTTTTTCTCCCTTTTTTTTTCTTTCATTTTTTTCAATAATGCTCAGTATCGGTCGACCGGGGGAGGGAGAAAATCGGTCACGCGCACCCCACTAGACCCACTCACTTGTCCCTCCTCTTGTTCGATAAAAGATACTTCACCTAGTCTACTTATAATGTTTCATTATGTATACTTATAATGTTTCACTATGGATACTTTTAATGTTGCAGTGAATTAAAATATTCTTTTGCAACAAATCACCCAGATATTTTGTAAACCCTCTATTAAGGGAATTCGTTTCATTTTTTATTCCACCAAAATTGTTTCACTTAGTGTACTCACAATGTTTCACTATGTATAGATCAAATGTTGCAGTGAACGAAACATTATTTTATAACAAATCACCTACATATTTTGAAAACCCTCTATTAAGGGAATTCGTTTTATTTTTTTCCACCAAAAAATGTTTCACCTAGTGTACTCATAATATTTCACTATGTATGGATCATATGTTGCAGTGAACTGAAACATTCTTTCGCTATTTGCTGAAACATTGTTTTTATATAAGGTGAACCAACGCCCGATTTAAACGATTGAAACATTTTCGATCTACTTAGTGAAACAATTCCGATATACTAGGTGGAACATCGTGCAACATTTAAAATTAATTCAATAATAAGCTAAAAAAATTTCGTCGGAATATATCTATGTGTGGTCTTGTTTTGAAGATTTAATTGCAACAAATTTAATGGTGCAATCGGATCATGATTTGGATAAATAATTTAAGAGAAAAATTAGTTTAAAGTGATTTTCCACGAATGCGTAGCACTGATGTCAACGCCCGATTTTTGAATGCCTGGATCGGGCGCCCGATTCTAAGTCTCCTCCTTTTTTTTCTTTCGACGAACACAACTGTTTACACGGAGTAACCTGTTTAAACGCAAAAATAGGAATTAAGTTGCTACTAGTAAATAGTAATACTGTTGCCCGTGATGGAATATCCTTCCAAACAAACTGCATGTGGGGTATACGCCATGTACCCTTTCTGTGTCACTGGCAGATGGGCCCCACTTCCCGCATCATGTCCCCCGCTGCATGAGGGTACAACACGCATGTAAGTTCGTATGTAAGTTCGTACGTGGGTAAAGTTGATTAATCCGCAAGCTAGCAATTACAATTGCAAATTGCAAATAGTAGTATCGTGCTTGAATTTAGCCTTTTTGCTTCGTAGATGATCTGGATGTTTGGAACGAACTTAGATTTATGGAAACTTGTTTAGTTTAGCCTAATTAGTTGGCTGACATAAATGCAGCCTTGATATGGGTTTTCTACTCATATACAACCAGTGACATAGCATAAAAATACAAAACATTGCTCGAGTAGAACTCAACTAATGAGATATTGATTTTCTAAAAAAATATTTTATGGTGATTTAATATAATTTAAACATGATTATAGAGACAAGCCTAGGGTTTAAGCCTAAGCTGCCTTAGGCTTGCCTCTACCCATACAACATGAGAAGTTAACGGTGAAAACGGTCGAAATTGATTGGTTTTTCTTTACATGAGAAGTCATGATCATTCTCTACACTATGGTTTTTCTTTTTCTCCAAATTTGTAATGCTCCCTTGAGTTTAATTCATTTTGAAGTTAGGAGAATTAAATTCAGTACTCCCAACATCAAAGAAATTTGACTGGAAAGAGGTTATATTAGACATATAAGAAGTTGAATTATGTGAGCACATATGTTTCGGTTATGTATCAATTAGAGAAACAGATAATTCTTTCCAGAGACACCGGATAGTGCAAAGAAACATGAGTATAACCATCATGCATCTAGTTATGGATATTCTTCTCGTGGGATGGTATCCAAACCGGCTAGATTGGAATCATAGTTTTCTTTTCTTCCTTTCATCCATTTGAGACCGTTACTATTATCTTAAGTGAGATACCGGTCTCAACCTTCACTACGAGAAGACTAAAGGAGACATCACACCCTCGTATAGTAATGACAGCTAGGTGTGAGATGAGCTCTGTTTCTGGCTATGATAGGAATGCCCAAGCTACTCCTTGCACATCTCTTGACTATACATGGGAAAAACAAACATGTCATTTACATCCAATAATGCACTTTATTATTTTCTTGTCCTCGCATGACCAATGAGGAAACATGGTGGAAAGATGGAGAGAGATCGAGAGACCCGCGCGCGCGATGCGAGACGAGGAGGGAGTGGTGGTTTTGTGGAGATTGTCTCTCTCTCTCTCTCTCTCTCTCTCTCTCTCGCGCGCGCGCGCCGCCTTTTTATACGCGCATGCGGTGCGGGAACCCTAAAGAAGAGGAGGGGAGAATAAATCGAAGGAGACGACGACCAGATTTTTTTTCTCCCTTTCTTTTCTTTTATTATTTTTGTTTCTTTCCACGAACAGAAAGATAATACGTGTACCTGTTTACACGGAGTAATAACATGTTTAACCGCAAAAGAAGGAATTATGTTGCTAACTACTAAATAGTACTCTCTCCTTCCCAAATTGATCATCATGTAATGGAATTCAAAAGTTCTCAAATTGATCATCATATAACCGTATGGATATGGATTCATCAGAATACAATTAATGTAGCATGGGAGAATGTGTGCATGCTAAGGTGTAATTGGCATGGTGTTTTGATCGATGCATGCATTGTGGGAGAATGTGTGCATGGTGTCTTGATTGATGTTATTGAAATTATCGTTGGTCTTGGTGCATAAATATATATAATGATCATTTTGGGAAGGAGGGAGTAATGTTGTTGCCTGTGATGGAATATCCTTCCAAACAAACACTGGGGTATACGCCTTGTACCATTTCTGTGCCACTTACAGGTGGACCCACTTACCTCATCCTGTCCCCGTTGCATATATGTGCCTTGTCTCTCTCACGCGCACGAGCGCCGCCTTTTTATATGTGCATGCGATGCGGGAACCCTAAAGAAGAGGAGGGGAGAAGAGATCGAAGGAGAAGACGACGACGACAACTAGATTTTTTTCCTCCTTTTTTTTTTGTTTCTTTCAACGAACAAAAGAGATAATACTGGAGTACCTGTTTACACGGAGGCAACCAAAAGAAAAGGAGATTCCTTGTTTAAAAACGCAAAAAAAAAGGAATTTAGTTGCTAAGTACTCCGTGTAGTGATAAAGTTAGTAATGCAGTAATGTTGTTGCCCGTGATGGAATATACGCGGTGTACCCTTTATGTGTCACTGATAGGTGGGCCCCACTTCCCTCATTTCGTCCCCGCTGCATGAGGGTACATCACGCGTGTATGTTCGTGGGTAAAGTTGATTAATTCGCGAACTGGCAATTACAATTGCAAATTACAAATACTAGCTAGTATCATGCTTGAATTTAGCTTTTTTGCTTCATAGACGATCTGGATGTTTGAAACAAACTTAGATTTAGGGAAACTTGTTTAGTTTAGCCTAATTAATTGGCTGACATAAATGCAGCCTTTATCATGGGTTTTTTACCCATATACAACCAGTGACATAGCTAAAAGTTATAAAACCTATTGCTTGGGTATGACTCAACTAATGATGAGATATTGGTTTTCTAAAAAAAACATTGTATTTCAAACCGCCGTAATGTTCTTTTTTTCCACCTATTCGGCACATTAGTTGCCATCTCCTAGTTGTTTGTTTTCTGCACTTGTAACCCCATGCATTGTACTTTGTTTTCTCTCCTTCTAATATAATCATCAATTCTCTTGCCTTTTTAGTTCAAAAAAGAAATTGTATGGTGATTTAAGAGATTTAAAATGTGATTATGGAGACAAGTCGTCTAGGACTTAAGCCTAAGTTGTCCTAAGCTTGCCTCCACTATTTATACAACATGAGAAGTTAATGGTGAAAATGGTTGGAATTGATTGAAGCCACTGTGACGATCGTCCTCTATGTTTTTTTTTCTTTCTCCAAATTAGTAATGCTCCCTTGAGTTGATTTCATTGAGAGAATTTAGGACAATTAAATTCAGTGCTCCTAACATCAAAGAAATTTGACTAGAGAGAGAGAGGGGTTATGTTAGACATATAAGAAGTTGAATTATGTGAGCACATACGTTTCGATTATGTATCAATTGGAGAAATAGTTAATTCTTTACGGAAACACCGAATAGTGTAAAGAAACATTATCCAAGAGTATAACCATCATGCATCTAGTTAGGGATATATTCTTCTTGTGGGATGGCATCCAAACCGGCTAGATTGGAATCCTAGTTTTTTTTTCTTCCTTTCATCCATTTGAGACCGTTACTATTATCTTAAGTGAGATATCGGTCCCAACCTTCACTACGAGGAGACTAAAGGAGACATCACACACTTATACAGTAATTGCAGCTAGGTGAGCTCGGTTTCTGGCTATGCTAGGAATGCCTAAGCTACTCCTTGCATATCTCTTTGACTATACATGGGAAAAACAAACATGTCATTTATATTCAATAATGCACTTTCTTATTTTCTTATCCTCGCATAACTAGAGAGGAAATGTGGTGAGCCTCAAAAAAAAAAAGAGAGGAAATGCGGTGGCAAGCATGTGTGCCCACGATATATAAGGAAGGACTTGTCCAATCTTAACGCCCTCTCTAGCCATGCATGGTCACATGAAAGTTCACCATTCGCTATTGTCGCGCCAACTAAGAGGTACTAAGAGGTGGAAGAGTGTGGGAAGTGAAAGGGAAACAAGGAAAAGTTAAATTCCAAGGTAATTAGGACAAGAAAACGGTTCAATTGCTCTAATCAAGATTCATGTCAATGGATCTCATTTATTTCAAAATCAATGTCTTAGGACATGTTTGGGACAACTATAGCTCTAGCTCTACCTCTTATAGAGATGGAGTCCAGCCAAATAGTTTCAACTCCACTTAAAATGAGAGTGGAGCTG